TGCACATCGCGCGCCCCGAGCCGAGCGGCAGGGGGGACGCGCCCCGGCCTGTCCCCTCCGCCGCCACCTTCCCCCCCTTTCCTCGCAGGGCCCCGCCCCGTCGTTGCTCAACCTCCGCGCGGTCCGGGTGGCCACAAGGCCTCGGCCAGAGGTTGAGTGAAGCGGGCCGTGGGGCCCCGCTCACGGCCCACCCCGGCCCTGCGCCTCTTCCTGCTGGAAGACCCCAGAACTCCCAGCCCGAGGGCTCCTGGATCCAGCCGCGCCTCCACACCCGACAGGCCTGCTCGAGGCCCTGGGTTTGCGCCCCAGCGCCGGGGCGCTGGGTAGTGGGGGCATCAGGCCGGCTGTCCGGCCTGCCCAGCTCGGGTTCTGCTCGCGCTGCCCTCTGAGCCGGGCCCTAGCTCTGGCTCTCCCCCAGGGCACCCCTAGACCTGGAATACCCCCTCTCTCCACTCTCATCCTGCTCAAGCCTCCCCGCTGACCCGCTGCCTCTGTCCAGTTCTTCCAGGGCTACCAACCGAGGAGCTGCTGCCGGACCCCAGCCCCGCCGTCATGGGCAGCCCAGAGGGGCGCTTTCACTTTGCCATCGACCGCGGAGGCACCTTCACAGATGTCTTTGCCCAGTGCCCAGGCGGACACGTGCGGGTCTTGAAATTGTTGTCAGAGGACCCTGCCAACTATGCAGACGCACCTACTGAGGGCATCCGCCGCATCCTGGAGCAGGTGGCCCAGGGTAGAGAGTAGGGGGATGGGGTGGGGATGGACCCCATGGCCAGTGGTCTGACGCTGACCATGTGGTCGGCAGGAGGGGCGCATGCTGTTGCCCCGGGACCGGCCGCTGGACACCAGTCGCATTGCCAGCATCCGCATGGGTACTACGGTGGCCACCAATGCACTGCTGGAGCGGCAGGGGGAGCGGGTGGCACTGCTGGTGACACGTGGCTTCCGGGACCTGCTGCACATCGGCACCCAGGCCCGCGAGGACCTCTTTGACCTAGTGAGCTCCCCATGCCAACCAGGGGCCCGGTGGTGCCATTTACACCTCCCCAGGGGTGCCATGGCCTGTGGGAAGGGCAGTTTTTGAAAGGATCGATGGTGGCCTAAAGCCACCAGCAGACAGGCAGAGGAGGTTCTGGGCACTCCCAGTGGGACCCTGCATCCCCCCAGCCCTCTGAGGGGGCACCTAGTGCCCTGTTCCTATCTGCCACCATTCCCTGTCCTGGACCCTGGCATGGGGCAGCTTAAGCCAGCCCTGTTCAGGATGAGGACTGGGTGGGAGCCATGCCCCAGTGCTGGGTTCCAGGAAGAAGCTGCCTTTTCCAGGGCGGGGCAGCTGGCTGCACTCAGATGCCTGGGGGCAGAGAGCCACCCCCTGGGTGGGCCTTGCTGGGGCTGCTCCTTCTTTGTCTCCTGGGCCTGTGGACTGGCCTGTTGGGACACATGCCTGCCCCTGCACTGCCCTGCCCACGCAGGACCCTGGCAAGGACCCTCAGGCCTGGGCCTCCTCTGAGCCTCTGCCTGCCCCCAGGCCGTGCCCATGCCTGAGGTGCTGTACGAGGAGGTGCTGGAGGTGGACGAGCGTGTGGTGCTGCACCGTGGAGAGCCAGGCACTGGGACACCCGTCAAAGGTGTGGGTGCCGGCCATTGGGTGTGGGATCTGGGGCGGGCAGATCCCGGTGGTCTGTGATGGCCATGATGGCTTTCCGGCAGGCCGCACCGGGGACCTGCTACAAGTGCAGAAGCCCGTGGACCTGGGGGCCCTGCGTGGAAAGCTGGAGGGGCTCCTGTCGCGAGGCATCCGCAGCTTGGCTGTGGTGCTCATGCACTCGTACACGTGAGTGAGGGCCGCGGGTCACAGACAGTGGGTGGTGGGTCTGAGTGGGAGACTCAGCATCACTGGGTTCTCATCGTAGGTGGGCCCAGCACGAGCAGCAGGTGGGCACGCTGGCCCGGGAGCTGGGCTTCACGCACGTGTCACTGTCCTCGGAGGCCATGCCCATGGTGCGCATTGTTCCTCGGGGCCACACGGCCTGCGCCGATGCCTACCTCACGCCCACCATCCAGCGTTACGTGCAGGGCTTCTGCCGTGGCTTCCAGGGCCAGCTCAAGGTGAGGTCCTTGACGACTTGTCTCAGCCCCGTCCCAGGCGCTGGTTCCTCACTGCCCACCTGATGCCGTTCACAGGATGTGCAAGTGTTGTTCATGCGCTCCGATGGTGGCCTGGCGCCCATGGATGCCTTCAGCGGCTCCCGTGCTGTGCTCTCGGGCCCTGCCGGTGGTGTGGTTGGCTACTCGGCTACCTCCTACCGGATGGAGGGCGGCCAGCCTGTCATCGGCTTTGACATGGGAGGTATGAAGGTTGAAGGCTAGGATCTGGGGAGGCTCGGCTGCTGGGATGTGCAAAGCAGGCACTGGGTTTTCAGTGACTCCTCAGCACCCTGTTCCCCACCAGGTACATCCACAGATGTGAGCCGCTATGCTGGGAAATTTGAACATGTTGATGGAGGGCGGCCAGCCTGTCATCGGCTTTGACATGGGAGGTATGAAGGTTGAAGGCTAGGGTCTGGGGAGGCTCGGCTGCTGGGATGTGCAAAGCAGGCACTGGGTTTTCAGTGACTCCTCAGCACCCTTTTCCCCACCAGGTACATCCACAGATGTGAGCCGCTATGCTGGGAAATTTGAACATGTCTTTGAGGCCAGCACAGCCGGCATCACTCTCCAGGCTCCCCAGCTGGACATCAACACAGTGGCGGCTGGTGGGGGTTCCCGCCTCTTCTTCAGGTCAGCTCCCCCTGGCCCTTGGCCAAGATCCTGGCCCTGCCTCCCTCCCTGCCTCCAATCCCATTCTCCCTCTCCCAAGGTCTGGCCTCTTCGTGGTTGGGCCTGAGTCAGCAGGAGCCCATCCAGGCCCCGCCTGCTACCGCAAAGGTAAGAGCTAGTGTCTGCCTGCCAGGTCTTGCCCTCCCCACACTGCCCCAGCTCACCCCACCCCTTCAGCCTCATCCCTGTTGCCCACTCTTGGCCCCCGCCTCCAGCCCACAACTGACCACACCATGCCCACTTGCCAGGGGGCCCCGTGACAGTGACGGATGCGAATCTGGTCCTGGGTCGCCTGCTGCCTGCCTCCTTCCCCTGCATTTTTGGGCCGGGAGAGGACCAGCCACTGTCCCCTGAGGCCTCCTGCAAGGCCCTGGGAGCTGTGGCCGCTGAGGTCAACAGCTTCCTGACCAACGGGCCCTGCCCGGCTTCCCCGCTGAGCCTGGAGGAGGTGGCCATGGGGTTCGTGCGCGTGGCCAACGAGGCCATGTGCCGGCCCATCCGTGCACTCACACAGGTACACACCCCTTGCCCGCCCTCGCCTGCCTATCCCACCCTCCAGCCCCACCCACTACCCCCACACCTCGGCTCACCCAAAAGGGGTAAGAAGTGGGGATCCGGACAGGGTGGAGTAGGAGAGGCCACTGACCCCTTCCGGCTCCCAGGCACGAGGCCACGACCCCTCGGCCCATGTGCTGGCCTGCTTCGGGGGAGCTGGTGGGCAGCATGCTTGTGCCATCGCCCGGGCCCTGGGCATGGACACCGTGCACATTCACAGGTGGGCATGGGCGAACAGGTGTGCGTGTGTCCTGGGCTTGGGGGGCTGACTGTGGGAGGGGTCCCTCATCGCCACACCGTCCGGCCCTGCAGGCACAGTGGGCTGCTGTCGGCACTGGGGCTGGCCCTGGCAGATGTGGTGCATGAGGCACAGGAGCCCTGCGCCCTGTCCTATGCACCCGAGACCTTCGCGCAGCTGGACCAGAGGCTGAGCCACCTGGAGGAGCAGTGCGTGGATGCCCTGCAGGCCCAGGGCTTCCCTAGGTGGGCTCCCAGACCCGCTGGGCAGTGGTCAGGAAGGGCTCCTAGACTCTGAGTGCCGGAGGAGGCAGGGGCGCTGGGTGGGGTGAGGGGCAGGCCAGGGGGCTCTGTGTGAGCACCCCTGCCCACACACCTGCTTCAGGTCCCAGATCAGCACTGAGAGCTTCCTGCACCTGCGCTACCAGGGCACGGACTGTGCCCTGATGGTGTCTGCGCATCAGCACCCGGCCACGGCCCGCTCGCCCCGTGCTGGTGACTTTGGGGCAGCCTTCATGGAGATGTGCGTGAGCTCCTCATCCAGGGAGCCCAGGCGGGTGGCCTGCTGGGCTGGCTGCCTTACCCTGATCACTTCCTTGGGGCCTGGGGTATGCAGGTACATGAGGGAGTTTGGCTTTGTCATCCCGGAGCGGCCAGTGGTCGTGGACGATGTGCGGGTGAGGGGCACAGGCCACAGCAGTCTTCGCCTGGAGGATACCCCCAAAGTCCAGACGGGACCTCCCCGGGTGGACAAGGTTGGTGGCTCTGCCTGTGACAGTCCTCCCACACCCATGGGACATGGAGACAGGTGCGGATGGGGAGACCAAGCTCTCTTGAGGCAGGGTGCTGGACTTAGGAGCCTTGCTAACCCCCCAATCTCTGCAGATGACCCAGTGCTACTTTGAGGGGGGCTACCAGGAGACTCCTGTGTACCTGCTAGGAGAGCTGGGCTGTGGGCACAAGCTCCAGGGGCCCTGCCTCATCATCGACTGCAACAGGTGTGCTGAAGCCTGCACAGGATAGAAGCTGTGCAGGGGTGGGGCCCCTGGTGGGGGGTTCTCTGGCCTAAAGCTGCAGGGGCCTTAGGGACTCTGTGGATTCCATCTTTGCGGTGTCCCCTGGCGTGGGGCTGTGGAGTCTCTGGTTGGAAGAGGAGGTCTGGCCTGGCCCCTGGCAGCCCCTCTGTGCTCCCTGTCCCCAGCACCATCCTGGTGGAGCCAGGTTGCCAGGCAGAGGTGACTGAGACAGGCGACATCCTCATCTCAGTGGGGGCCGAGGCCCCCAGCACAGTGGGTACTCAGCTTGACCCCATCCAGCTGTCCATCTTCTCTCACCGCTTCATGAGCATTGCTGGTGAGTGGCTGCTGCCATCCCCCTGCAGCCCTGGCTCCCTGTAGTGTAGGGAATGGGATTCTGCATCCCGGGCAGAGGTAGGTAGGCGGTGTTGTTGACAGCACCAGCTTTTGTCTCACTTGGTGGGTTGGCAGGGGTGTGTGGAGGAAAAGCATGCCCAGGAGGGGCAGAAGCAGGCCCCCCCGGGTGACAGGGCAGGCAGTGTGGCCCTGGGCTTGGGATGGGCCCCTTCCTTCTCTTTCCAGCAGCTATGTGACCTGGGGGTTGACCTCTTCCTACAGGCAGGACACTGAGGCCAGCACAGAGAGCCCATCTGTGCAGAGTCAAGCCAGGGGCTTGTTGGAAGCCTAGGGGTCTGTGCCTGGGAACCAGTTTCTTGCTGTGTCAGGCAGGGCAGAGGGTTGGGGGAGGCTCCAGCCTCTTGCTGGGTGCTCCAGGCAGGGGTGGGAAGGAAGATGGAGCTCCTCATACAGGCCAAGACATGCCTGGCTGCAGCCTCACCATGCCCAGGTGGGCGCAACGCCACCTTGGTCTTCCCCAGGGCACGAGAAAAGCTGCCAGGTCCTGGTTTGGGCCTGACTATGGTGGGTACTGTTCCTGTCCAGAGGGGCCATGCTGTGGGTGGGTGCATGGGTGGAGCCAGCCGGTGTCTGGTCACTCTGTGCCTCCAGAGCAGATGGGCCGCATCCTGCAGCGCACGGCCATATCCACCAACATCAAGGAGCGTCTCGACTTCTCCTGCGCCCTCTTCGGGCCTGATGGGGGTCTGGTCTCCAATGCCCCCCACATCCCTGTGCACCTGGGTGCCATGCAGGAAACTGTGCAGTTCCAGGTACGATGGGCCCCTCCCCTGTCCCCCTTATCTGCCCTTGCCCCCGTACCCCACTCCCCTACTCTGCACCTGTCTCTTGGTTTCAGATCCAGCACTTGGGGGCTGACCTCCATCCTGGCGACGTGCTGCTGAGCAACCATCCCAGCTCAGGGGGCAGCCATCTTCCAGACCTGACTGTCATCACACCGGTGAGGGACACTGCCTGGCTGTCTTTGTGGGGACAGGGGTGGCTGACATAGCTGACCGTTGCTTTCTATCCTCCTAGGTGTTTTGGCCGGGTCAGACCCGGCCTGTGTTCTATGTGGCTAGCCGAGGGCACCACGCAGACATTGGGGGCATTACGCCAGGCTCCATGCCTCCCCACTCCACCACGCTGCAACAGGAGGGGGCCGTCTTTCTGTCCTTCAAACTCGTCCAGGGGGGCGTCTTCCAGGAGGAGGGTGAGCAGGAGTGGGACCAGGTGGGGATTCAGCAGGCTGAGACAGGCTGGACAGTGGGGATGCAGCCCATCAGCTCAGGCCTGCCTCGAGGCTGGGGGCAGGCAGGTGGTGACCCCGGGGAGCGGCAGCAGATCATCTGTCAGAGATGATCAGAGGAGCTGATATAAATTCTGCCTGGGCCCAGGAACACCCCAAGAAGCAAGGTGCAGGAGGGAGGGGAGCCTGTTTTTCAAGGTGGGCAGCTGCTTGCGGTGTGTGAAGTTCACACAGGGTTGGGGGCTGTAGGCTCCTGGAGAGCTTTCTGGGCCTGGGTGGTCAGCTAGGCTTGCCCTGGTCTGCCTGTGCACCTGCGTGTGCAGAGAGGATGGGGGTTTGTGAGTGGCCCGGAGGCTGCCGGGGGTGTGTGGCAGCACCTGCAGTTGCCCTGGATGCTGTGGGCCTTGCACAGGGTGTAGGTTGGGGGGAATTGTTTTGGAGGTCGAGGTGGGTTTCTGATGGGCTTTTGGTGTGGAGGCGAGGGGTCAAGTTTGGACAGTTGGAGGGTTGAGGCCCTGGCACTGAGGGGCACAGGATAGCTGCAGGGCAGGTGGGACAGAGGCTGTGGTGGGGCCTGGGTGGGGGTTTTGGGGGGAAATAAAACAGCGGTCTGAGGTCATGGGTTTGAGAGCCTAGGGAGGAATATTGGAGTGAAGGGAGGGGACGTGGCAGGGTGGAGGGTGGGGGCGACAGAGCCACAGGCTGCTTGGGTGCTGAGGACACAAATAGGGTGTCCCAGGCTTGGCTGCTCCCTTGGACAATGCTTGGGAAGGGGGTGTGGGTAATGGGGAGACGTGTGCAGGCAGATGGCAAAGGGCCCAATGGCCAGGGTACCCCAGAGAAGATGGTGACCCAGATCAGAGGGGAAAGGGGCTTTCCCAAGGTGGGGAGTGGTCTCTGGGTCAAACATGCACTGCTTGCCAAGGGGTGGAGACCTCGGCCAGATCTGGGAAATCTGTGTGTGTATTGGGGGAGGGGGTGTGGCACAGATGGGCGCCTTGTTGCTATTTCCAAGTGCAGGGCTGGGAGCAGGACAGGTGGGGGAGGGACAAGGAAAAGGAGGCCCAGAGAAGGCAGGAGTGGTGAGGAAGAGAGGTGAGTTTGCTGAGGGATGTGGTCATTGGCAGAGCTGCCTGTGCAGGCCTAGGGTGCCCTGGGGTGCTGGGCTGTGGGAGCCAGAAGGTTCAGCAGAAGGATGGAGGCTGGGGGGTCTTTGGGGCACCTGAGTCAGCAAGGGATGTGGGGGGAGCCAGTGAAGGGCCAACATGGAGGACCTCAGTGCCCAGTGGGGGTACAGTGGGTGTGAAGTGGCACCAAGTAGCCCTGGGGCTCGGAGTGGGCTCAGTGGTGACCCTGTCCATCCAGCGGTGACCGAGGCCCTGCGGGCACCAGGCAAAATCCCTGGCTGTAGCGGGACCAGGAACCTGCATGACAACCTGTCAGATCTGCGTGCCCAGGTGGCAGCCAACCAGAAGGGCATCCAGTTGGTGGGAGAGCTCATCGGGCAGTACAGCCTGGACGTGGTGCAGGCCTACATGGGCCATATTCAGGTGGGCCTGGGGGCAGGAGCGTGGGGGCAGTGCTGTGCCTACCCCAGGCAGTTGAAGTTGGCCTGACTGCTGCTGAACCTTCTCCCTGCCAGGCAAACGCTGAGTTGGCAGTGCGCGACATGTTGCGGGCCTTTGGGACTTCCCGGCAGGCCCGGGGACTGCCCCTCGAGGTGTCTGCCGAGGATCACATGGACGACGGTTCCCCCATCCGCCTCCGAGTGCAGATCAACCTGACTCAGGTCTGGCTGAGGGGAAGGTGCCCACTGGGGCTCCTGGGGCATGGCCGCCGGGCTGCTGACGTCCTCCCCCGTCCCCTCTGGTGCGCAGGGCAGCGCTGTGTTTGACTTCAGTGGCACCGGGCCCGAGGTGTTTGGCAACCTCAACGCACCGCGGGCCATAACGCTGTCGGCCCTCATCTACTGCTTGCGCTGTTTGGTGGGACGGGACATCCCGCTCAATCAGGTTCCTAGGTGTTTGTGTGCGGGAGATAAGCAGGTCGACCCGAAGCCCGAGGTTATACTGCATGTGCCCGGGGGCAAAGTCAGCCCAGCCACGGCCTGAACCCAGGGGTGCTGGGGGACGGGTCCCTCCCGGAACCTGAGAGTGGGACCCACCACGAGTTGCTCCTGAGAGCTGCCTGCCCATGCACAGGGCTGCCTGGCACCGGTGCGTGTCGTGATTCCCAGGGGCTCCATCCTGGACCCGTCCCCAGAGGCGGCCGTGGTGGGCGGCAACGTGCTCACGTCGCAGCGTGTGGTGGACGTCATCCTGGGGGCCTTCGGGGCCTGCGCAGCCTCCCAGGTGCGGAGGGGCAGGGTGGGCGCGGCTGTGGGGCGGCGGGCGGCAGGGGGCGGTGAGAGGGAGCGACCGCTTGCCCCTGCCAGGGTTGCATGAACAACGTGAC